TAATGCATGAAAATCCTAACCTCAAAAAAATCACCCGTTACATATATTATGTACAATTCAATATTCGGCCGAACATTAAGAGTAAGTTTTACGTTTCGAAAATAATAACGCAATTTGAANAAATCCTAACCTCAAAAAAATCACCCGTTACATATATTATGTACAATTCAATATTCGGCCGAACATTAAGAGTAAGTTTTACGTTTCGAAAATAATAACGCAATTTGAATGGAAAATGATTTTTTATTTTCTGTCAATTTCCATATAAAATTAGAAAAATTTAAAATCATTTTTCACTAAAATTTGCTTTTGTGAAATTCGCTGTAAATCTGTGATTTCTTATTTCGTAACAAATTATTTGTTTTTGTCTTTCCCCAGCAAACACANAATAATAACGCAATTTGAATGGAAAATGATTTTTTATTTTCTGTCAATTTCCATATAAAATTAGAAAAATTTAAAATCATTTTTCACTAAAATTTGCTTTCGTGAAATTCGCTGTAAATCTGTGATTTCTTATTTCGTAACAAATTATTTGTTTTTGTCATTCCCCAGCAAACACAGTCTCTAACGTTAGATAAATTTGGATTTCTACATTAGATAACTAGGGTAATTCTATAATCGTTCTCCAGTCGATGACGAAGTTAGAGAATACATTAGAATTCCAATATTCCAAATGAATGAAACATAAATTATTTTTAAGTTCAAATAAGTCATTATTATTTTATTGCAAATACATTTAATAAAAATTATGCAAACAAAGCGTTTTAAGTATTTAATAAAGTAAAACAGCAGTTTGAAATTCACATTCGAATGCCATTAGAGATCAACATTAGAACTGGATTAGAGAATTAAATTAATTCTGGTCCCCAACTAATCCTGAAATGCTCCTGAACAAGTCCCGTCTTTTAAGGCTTAACAAATTTTTTCGCGTTCATAATTAATATGAAAAGACTTTTATAATATAAGTCATAAATTAAAAGTATTTGAAGACTTAAAAATATTTATCTCAATGATAATTATTATAAAAAACTTGTATAATATAAGTGTTAAAATAAAAGTCTTTGAAGACTTAAACACATTTATCTTCCTGATAATTATTATGAAAGGACTTTTATAATATAAGTCTTTGAATAATAATTGTAGATGACTCGAAAAATATTTATCTTAATCTAATGATTATTGACTGACTTTTATTCTTTTCTCTTATAATAGTTATGTCTCTGGAATGAATATTTTCTCGAGTCGAGAACTATGTCCCATTTTTATTTAGATCACTACGATTCTCGATAGTTTTTCGAGTCATTTTCTAACGTTTGAGATTGGAGAATGTGGCTAGTTCTCCAATCGATAACTACCCTCAATGTTTGCTGGTATCCAAAAAATTTATTGAGCCGTTTTTTTTATTAAGACAAAAACCACAGTTTAGCTCAGTGAGTAAGCCTGCTGGGGTCGTTGGGTCGAATCCCAGTAGTAGTGTTAAGTAGAGATGCGAAACAACAAGATTTTATAAACTGTCGTAAAGCAATGTAACTACACGACAAATACAACATCTTGTGAATTGTCTAATTGTTCGGCATTTTCGGCCGAAGATAAAAAATCAGCCGAATAGGCCGAACCTTCGGTCGGACACTAATACTTAGTACAAGCAAATGTTTTGAAGGCGTGCAGCTGCAAAAGTGGCTACCACCATTTTTTCCAAATCTGTTTTTATTGCATTTTTGTGTATAGAATATGAATATGTACCCGACACCGTGAAGTTATTCCAGGAAATTTGTGCAATAGTCGCCCGCAAAATATTCACTCGCTATCATTTTATTAGCTAAATACTATGTACCAATAGATTTGCTAGTACCAAAACAGCTGAACCCACCTTGCCATGTTGCAGGTGTATTTGGTTTCGCGGGGGATTTCTTCTGCGCTGAGTTTAACGTCTAGTTGCATTGGCTACCTTGCATGGCGCCGAAAAGTCTCTTTAAGGCCGAGGTCATACAATGAGCGGCTGAGCGGCTTTTATTCATGAGTAGCGCCGCCCAACCATTCAGAAATGCCGCTCACTGCGTGGCCACTTCAATAGTATTGCATATCGCACACCGTATTCAGAAGCAAATTTTTCTTATAATTTGTTTTTTAAGCAAAAAACAAAACCGTCTTCAATTCTCATATACAAATTTAAGATTATCGTTAATTTCCAATGATCCAATGATCGGATTTAAACCAAATTAGTATGGGACCACCTGTGAGGTAACATCCAGAGATGGTGAAAACGGCCCTAATGCCGGTTACTCAATGTCTGGTTAACACTAATCTGCGGTTAAACATCGTTATCGCCGTCTTCGACCCCATGTATACAACAGGGAGTTGGTAACGTCGATAACTATGTTTCACCGGAGATTAGTGTTAACCAGACATTGAGTAAACGGCCCTTAGCTTTGAAGTGCCATATTGAGGATAAAAAAGTGCCAAAATGTGCCAGATATAAAAATAAGCGTGCCAAAAAAGGTGCAATTCTTTTTAATTCTTCGCATTTATCATTAAATTTAGAAGCACATTCCTAAAACAAAAGTCCAATGCCAAAGTAAGATAAACCAGTTGAATACACCACAGAAGTTAAAAAATTTTAGTTGAGGAAAAAAGCCCACGCAAAGGATTTCACAAAAATGTATTGAAATATTACTATTTTTCAAAAGGGCAATGTTGGTACTTTGTGCCAAATTGAAAAATCAATTGCCTTGATGTAAAATAGGGCCAAAAACGGCACAGTTTGAGCCAAGTTGGCAGCCCTGGTTATCACTAACTCCCAGTTAAACATCATTATCGACGATTTCAATATCATGCATGTAACATAAGCAGTCGTTGCATTTAACCGGAGCTTCTACCTCCGATTTGTGTCGGTTAAACATAGTTATCGACGTTACCGACTCCTTGTTGTATGCATAGGATCGAACACGTCGATAAAGATGTTTAACCGCAGATTAGTGTTAACCAGACATTGAGTAACCGGCCCTTAGTTTGGTAGCGTCCCTACTCTTCTCTACTAGCAAAATTTAGAAAAAAATGTCATAGAAATCTAAATCTGTTACTTCTCCCAAATTGGCATTTCAAACCTGTTTCTGAAAAATGGTAGTTGGGCCGTTAAAATGTTCTAAAAAAATGTTAAAACAGCGACTTTTACTTGTTCCACCGCAAAGATACAACATTTTATTTGAAATTTTGGTCAAAAAGTACAAACTTAACCCTCTGCATAAAAAAATCAAATGTGGAGTAACTGACGTTGGGTTAAAACCAGTTCAAGCCATAAAATTAAAGTTCCAGGGAGAAAACACTACTTTTCAAGATGGCTGCGATTCCACAACATTTGGAGGACGGCAAATAAAGTTATAAAACTAGCGTCGCAGTATAATTGGCCACCACAAGAAAATCGGCAGATTACCAACTTTCGACTATAATTTAACTATTCTAACGGCACATTCAATGTTAATTGAAAAAACTTAAAAGAAAATATTTAAAATAAAATTATTTGCCACTCAAAAGTATGGCAGCGCGTTTAGCTACAACCACCACCTTGTTTGGGTATTTTTGACATTTCTTTGCTTGCTTCACATTTCATTCGTGCTTTCTCATTCACGTTCTTCGTACTCAGCTAGTGCTGTCGATTTCGTTGTGCACGTGCATACGTACTCGTTTGGTACTCAACCGCACGTTCATAACCGAATGGTTGCTGACATCTACATACGAGTGTTGGTGATATTAAAGAACCATTTACCCAACGATTGTTGGTTACACGAGTGCAAAGTACTTCAATATTCACATCACTAAGCATGAGTCGGCAAATGTCATTTTTTGATGTGTAAAAACAAAAGTAGAGGATTGTCGTGTGTTCGAATTCCTTTCGTTAAATATTATTTCTGTTATTAACTATTAATTAAAGTAAAAAATGAAGCTGCAAATTAAAACATTGAGCCAAAAATCAATAATAGTCGACATTGATCCGTCGAAGACTGTGTTTGAGCTGAAAAAGGAGTTGTCTCTGTATCCAGACGTTGGCGTTAGACCTGAGCTGCAAAAACTCATTTATGCCGGTAAAATTCTTTTTAACGAGCAACCATTGAGTGCTTACAATATAGACGCAAAGAAATTTCTTGTTGTAATGGTACTGAAGCAACCAGAAGAACTTGGTTTTGATTCAGCTCCTACGGGTGCTGGCACTTCAATATCTGCTGCTGGTGATGCTGCCCTTGCAAGGGCTGCGGCAGGAGCTACACAAGCCAAAGCAAAGGAGCCTGAATCAAGTACTGCAACTCAAGCAACATCACCACAACCTTCAACTCCAGTGCCAGCTCCAGCTCCAGCTCCAGCTGCAACTGCGACAGCTGTCCCAGACACTCCGGTCGCAACTCCACAACCTGCAGCTGCTGATCCACAGCCTGTGCAGCCTGCCCCGCCCACAAGTGGAGCGAATGATGAAATGGTAACAAATATTGTCAGCATGGGTTATCCAGAAGTAGAAGTGCGTCGTGCACTAGCCGCTAGTTTCAATAATCCAGAACGCGCTATTGAATATTTAATTGAAGGTATACCCGACTCGGTGCTAATGCAGCCAGAAGATGCAGTTTTGTATGGTGGCGACAGTGATGCTGATGCGGGCATGTCGCCATTTGAAATGTTTCGCAGTGATCCACTGTTCCGAAATTTACGTCGTGCCATTCAACAGCACCCAGAGCTTATTAACGATGCCATACAACGAGTTGGCGAAGCAAATCCCGCAATACTACAACTTATCAACGAAAACCAACAGGAATTTCTCAGCTCGCTTATTGAGGGTTCAGACGACGATGACGATGATGACGAAGTGGCACCTGGTGGCGGTGGCAACTAATTGTATATGTGAATTTGGGTTCTGAATTCTATAAAAAAAAAAAATAATTAAATTGTAAACTCATGACATTGTACTGGATATATTATAAATACAGGGAAAGGATTTTGCAATGTCGGCGTGATTGAATAGTAAGAGAGCGGTTCTTATTTTTTAACTACCTAAGAAATTTGAGCGCGATTGTTCAGGTATAACATAAACAATTATTCCTTTAATAAGATGCTATTCACTAGCGACCTGTTTCACAAGTATGCTTGCTTGCTTCTACAGGAACATATTCATCTTCATTATACGAACGTACACATTCACATGTATAAGTGTATGTCATTGTTTGCGGGAAATATGTTGAAGTTATATCACTGGTTTGCAAAATAAAAAAATATTTAAAACTAAAAAGCGTATGTTTTCTGCATCCCTCAGAATTTTATTGTATTGTATTACTATTTCTTGAATTGATTTTAGGTGAGGAAAACAACCCTTCTCCTTGGCTGGCTTACACGCACACATATGTATATCATAAGCTATGATGGATGCTTTCGTTACTTTCAAAATGGAATCGGCATTTTGAATTCTTGATGACACCCTTTTCTTGCCAAAACTAATAATTTTTTAATATAAGACATTCTTAAGCAATTTTATAACACCTCACTAGATTGGGAGAATATGCAAATATGTAGGCTTTTATTATATGTGCATATGTATGTATATCGATGGTCATCCGCAGTAACGACACAACTCAAAACTAAAGAAAAAAACCCTTACTGCTGTTAAGTGGCTCATGTGTCTAATCCACTTACTTATGTATATAGTAAGGTTTAGAGACATGAACAACTTAACAATATTAAGGTTTTTTTAGTTTTGAGTTGTGTCGTTATTGCAGAAGATCATCGATGTGTACAGAATGAGCCCTTGATTACCGTTTTTATAAATAAAATATAGTTTGTAATGGGTAATTCGATATATTTTGCTCATGGCAAGACATCGTTTGAAAGAGGTTGATTATAAATTATATTGAATTTATGTACGTAGTATGTATTCACATAAGTAAGCGCAATTGAAAGCATGCGTAGTGCATACAATATATGTATATATATATTTTGAATGTAAACTGGATTAATGCATAGTTCTCACCACAATTGCGCAATTAATGTGACACCCCTTGGTGTTGAAAGCTATGTGACAGCATACAATAAAATTAACAGTAAGCGGTCTGTGAACCTTTTCACTAATATGTAATACATAGCCAGCATGTAGCCGGTTCTAATGAGTTTCTCAAAAAGTTTTCAAGTATTAAAAAAAGGCGTTACCGATAATGAGTTCATTCTTTTGAAAAAAATGCATATTATAAATTTTGGAATTGAATCCGGAAGCATTTTGCCAGAAAATTAATTTGTCCTATTGTATTGTGATAAAAAAAAGCCACCCAGTCGGCAATAGTAGAAAAAGGAGCCCTTCCTCCTTTTTTATATGGAATCGCCAGAACAGCAGGCCTCTGTTGTTGTAACAGCATACAAATTCCCCAAAAAGTGTTTTTGGCGAGTGTAGCTGGAGTGAGTCCTTGGCCAGATACAAATCTGGGTCGTTCCGGTTACGTAGACCCGACCGCAGGCCTCTCTTTAGGCTTACTGACACTGTTTCCGTAATTTGACTTTCGTTGGTTTGGAAATACATCTTCCCTCTACCTTTGAATGTCAGGGATATTGGAATATCCTTTAAAAAAGCTTCCCTAAAAAAGGCTATTGAAAGTACTTTTTTTACGCGAGCGCACGTGTGCGCAAGGGAGTAATATTTTTGTTCGTATAACGGTTGTTTGTAACAGCCACAACGAATCGAGCCATAAATGCTCAGAATGAAAAAAAAAATCTATTAAGCCATGACTGTCCCTCTGCCCGCCCGTCCCTCGAGAAAAAATTGAGAAATGTCTGCGAAATCGCACAATAACCACACCCACCTCTCATAACGATATTTTCGAAAAATCCAAAAACAACGATAATTTAGTTAGCTAATTTTCTGGGTGTACTAGAACAAAAGACAACATGACCTAAAAGATCTTTTGTATCTCATAAAAGGAGTTCCAAACCCAATGTAGCCAAGATAGGCTGACTTCCAAAACGTCAATTGCTTTGCATACTCGCAAAGTATAATGTTCCATAACGCCGAACTACAAAATATTGACAATGTATAATTTTACAAAACGCATCCGAAAAGTTATCGAAACGCGCATCTGAAATAAAGTTGATGCTTAATACAACCATGCAGAGGTGGTAAACGAACTTTACCATTGGCCCCCGTGCCTACCCACCTTTTTGAACCNCAGCATTATTATTTTTGGCCCATAATACGTTTTTCTAGTGTACAATCATGTCTTTATAGCTTATAATTCAATAGGGGTATTCTCTGAGTCTTGCAAAGCCCTTGCACGGTGCACGGATTGCACGGTTTGCAAAGCTGTCCCATACGAAAACCGGTTTTTACCGTGCAATCCGTGCAATATCAGCACCATGCAAGGCCTTTGCAAGACTCAGAGAATACCCCTAATGTATTTTTGTTCATTACCAATAAATTATATTTTGTCGTATTTTTACTCTTCTTTCTCTACATTTTTAGTACACTTCTAAGCAAGTTAGGATTTTCTGCTTTTCACCACGTGAAAAAGCATCTCATCTTCCATCCGAATCAACCAAAAAGTGAAAATTGATTTTTTGACACCTAAGCCCCCTTTCCGTAGACCAGGTCACATATATGTTTTATATAAATACATACATGCAAACATACTGGTCTCCCCTCTTTCTGAGTGAATCAGCCGGCATTCCGATTCTGTGATCGCACTTCTTCGGTGCAAGTGGAATCGCAATTGGTTGTGACCGGTCAGATACCCAGGATGTAGCCTGGTGTCCTTTCTATTTGCTAGAACAATGTCGTTTCTGTTAAAAGGGTAGCCGAAGAGCCTGGCCTGTCTAAGGCCCCACCGCTCCCCAGTACCTACTGCGTTCGGAGTGTACCCACCCACCCAGTAATTATAGCTCTCGAGAGGACCAACTGATGGGCCGCCCACTTATAAGGAAATGCTTTATCTATGTAGTCCCTTTACGAATGCCCACTAAACTCGGTGCAAACATTGCTCTAAGAAAGCCGTTGCAAATTTTTTAAATTAGGCAAGGACCACGCCCACTTCTCATATAATGGCGATTTACAGAAATAGGAAAACTGCGATAAATTAATTTACATTAATTAGTACATACGCATATGCAATGACATCTTAGCAGAAAATAGGTGTGTATTCGTATTGAGCCCACAAAATTATCCAGCAGCAAAAATTGTGAGAATTTAGCAGCATTCGCTCTTAAAGAGACAACAGTTGTGTTTGTTTACAAATTATCCAGTAATTTGCCAGCGACTCTCCAGTAACTTTAGCTCTGATCCAGTACTCCATGAACTTACCGGATTTTACACGAACTTGCAGGAAGTTGCAGGAAAAATGTTCCCGTACTCCAAAATCCTGTAAATGAGTGCGACTTTTGGAGAGTTGTCTAGAGAATGAAGTTGCATGATTTTACCCGAACTTTTTCTTCTGGTAAAATCATGGAAAGTGTCAAGCAATCACTGGTTGACGTTTTTACAGGAAAAATGGTTCTTTGTTCCCGTACTTTTTGTTGTTACTCACTTTTTACTCTCACTTCAGAGAGTATTTTGCTGTTTGACAGTTTTACAGGATTTTTCACGAAAAGTATTGGATCAGAGCTTTTATTTCTAAGAATTCGCTCTCATATAAAAAATTTGCAAAAAAGTACGCGAACGCTATTCCAGTAATAATTTGCAAGTTTCATGAACAGCTGATAAATTGGTTGTTTATTCGCAGCAAATTCCTAATAAAACAATGAGCCCAATTCTGAATACTCCCGGGGAGTTTGTTCTCCAAGAATTTGTTTCTCCCAAGAAGCAAATACTCCAACAAATAACTCGCAGGGAGTTCCATTTTCTCCGAAAATTTGGAAGCAGGAAATTTGAACTTCGAAAAAGCTGTATGAACTTTTTTTGACAGCTCAACTCCGTCATTTGATATAAAAAGTCCTCAGGGAATTTTTATTCATGATAGGAGGAAAGGGACAAGGGAGCAAACTCTCAGAGAGTTTCTGTTCAGAATGGGCCTGATTATATTTTATATTTAAATAGGTTTATTTTGTGAAATTCAACAATAAAAACTTTTCGTACTTCTGGGGATATGTTAGTTTATTATTTTCGAGTAAAATCCAGTAAAAGTTTTTACGAATTTTCATGTTTTGGCGTTTTCGTACGCAAAAACTTGCAAAGTAGGGGAAATTGAGAGAGCGAGAAATGACAGATGAAGTTGCAAGTTTTTACTGGATTTTACTGGATAAATTTTTACTTGTAAGAATTTGCCAGTACCGAAAACAGCTGATCGCATGTTGCAGGATGAAATTTAAACTAATAAGGAAACGGTTTGTGGGTTTTGGGTACGAGTACATTCCTATTGTTTTTTCGAAAATGGGCATTGCATCACCCACTTACGACTACATATGTACATATGTATTCATCGATTTTCAGCAAACTTGGTCCAATTACTTCAATATATCATAGCATATTATCGGAATTGTTTTAAATCGAATAAAACACTTCTTATCATGCAGTTTAATGAAACGTGAAAAAAAACGATATTTAATACATAGGGCTTCTTCGAGTTGCAATCACAACCGCAGTGTTGCGCTAATTATTAAAGTATCACGTTCGGTGTAATTTTTAGCAACGTTTTATCAATTGGGAAGTTGCAACAGTCTTGCAAATTTTATCCGCGCTGCAGTCTTGCCGCTTTTATTACCTATATGAAGTTCGGTTTCGCCCGAACTTATACTTTACTTGTTTTATACCACGTTTTGGTCTCAAAAAGTGACATCACTTAAACAGAGGCAGGCAAAATATATTGTTTTTGGTAGTCCCTAATCATGAATAAATTTCCATAAACTTGACTCAAATCAAAAGATCCAGCTAAAGATATTTACATTCACATCCTTACAAACGTACAAAGGATACTCTTTAAAATGCATCTGTTTCCCCACAACCACTGTCCA